TAAGAAAAAGTATGAGATGTTCATGTTCAGAAAAGCTGAAAAATATGAGCTTTGAGATATTGGGAATTTGAGGCAAAATGTGATTTAGCAAGACCAAAAGGTTGAAAAGTTGAGAAATTGAAAATTTTGAGAAATCGAAAATGTTGAAAGACAGTGAAGTCGTGAGCGTTACAAACCTGAAAACTTGAAAATTTGTAGAAAAACATAATAGGTACTTAAGAATTGGAGAGAGATAAAGGGTTGAAATAGTGGATAATGAAATGAACAACAAACAGGTTGAAGAATTGAAAAGTTGAAATGTATGAGTATGAATGGTTTTGGAAGTTGAAAATTACAGAGAAATGGATTGAAATCGGGATGAAATTGTATAAAGTGAGAATTGAAATATTCAACAATGTGAAAGTGAAAATGATGAAAAGTCAGAAAGCTGAACAACAAACAGGTCGTAGAGTTGAAAAATTGAAGTACAGAAAATCTGAGATGTTGAGGATAATGAGAATTTGAGACAAAATTCAATTTTGAAAGACAGAAAAGTTGAAAATCCGATTTTGAGGATAAAAAATGTAATGGATTGATATATCATGGTGACAAGTTGCATAATTGGAATATCTATTTGATGGTTCGAAAGTGAAAGTTATTAAAAGTTGTAATTGTTGGAAAGCTGAACTACAAACAGGTTAGAGGAATTGAAAATCTGAAGTGTATAAGAGTTGAGGTTTTAAAGTTCTAAAAATTTGTTGTATAATTGAATAGGTACTCAATTTATGAATTTATGAACAGAACCGAGAACAGAACAGTTGAATTAATTGAAATTTGAATTTTAGAGAAAAGACAAAAAAATCACATGAAAGTTTTATATATTACTCAAAATACATTACACATTTCATAGAATAACGACTCCCGATGATCTATACACTACGTAAAATATCAAGTTTTGATTTATTTGATACATTCCTACTCTTCTTCTTAATCGAATATTTTTCAGACGTCGACATCCATTTGCACTCTTTATATAATTTTACTACAATCAAATGATTGATGAGGAATTCAAAATGTATCATGCAGTCATCTGTTAACATTGATGATATCATATTATGCTCCGATATATTTTTAAGCTTCATTTTCAATTTCTTAACAATATTATTTGATGAAGAGGAAGTTGTACTATGATATAAAGCAATAATGCAAGGGTTTCGTAGTCCCTAACTTTTCAGGGTCAGTTTTCATTTTGAGTATATGAAAAAAATTGTACATACTCGTGAAGATATTATCTATGTTCCTGTCGTCTTACTTTTTCGAAATTCGATTCGGTTCCGCCGGAAAAAAAATTGGAAAATCATCCAAAAACACGTTATTTAGCGATTTTTTTAGAAAAAACTCAATCAAATTTCGAAAAAGTGAGACGACAGGAACATAGATTAGATCTTCACAAATATGTACTAATTTTTTCAACCACTCAAAATGAAAAATTAACCTAAAAAGTTAGGGACTACGAAATCCTTGCATGGCAACAATTTGTATCCAGAGAGTGGCGCCGCTCTCAGAATTGATAGGAATTAACATTTATGAATGGAGATGGTATATATACATTTCTCATTTGCAATGTTTACGAGGGTCTGGCATGTGTAGAAAATACAAATTTCATAATTTCAGTGGGATATCAAATTATCATTATTTCATATCATTTCAGACTGCTATACCTATAGAAATTCAAGAATATACGGCAATGTTATTACGGTGAGGCTCTCACAATTAACGATTATATTTCTTGGGTTCTCGAAACATGGAAAACCTAATTATTACCTATTTTGAAAAATATAACGTTATCAACGTTAATTTACGCGTATAATTTACATTAGGATTACCTCGGAATAATGACGGTCGAATCAGAAACAATTATTGTGGAAACGATAGAAAATCTACTGCCATCCAGTTCTAGGCATATCAAAAAAATTGTTATCGCAATAAAAAAGGATGCGCTTTTTTATCGGTATCAAAGTTTTTTTCACGACGACTCATTAGCGCTGCGGTTTGACACGCATTTTCTGACCCTCGCCGCATGATTTACGACCTTTTATAAAAAATAGGTACCGCTGTTTGCTGCCAATGGAAAAGAATTTATGATTTGTGCACAGTAAGAGTATTGCGATTTTGAAATATTTTCAACAATGACGCAGGGGCCGTATAATTTGCTGACCTATATTAGAGTATGCTGACCGAGCATTTCTGATTCGATTTTTTTTTTCAAATTGCATATCTGAATAGAATATAGATATATAAATGCCACCAGTGAAATTATTATTATTCTCAATTTATTTTTTAATTTTTGATTATCGCTAGCTGGATTTTTCGATTTACTCTCAACGAGCCTTTTCATTTGATACTCATAGTGTAGAAGTATATTGAAAATAGCTATTCCGCCATCTTGGATGGTTCGCCATATTGAATTTAGAATAACGTTACATTCTTTCTCGAATTACTATCAACGAGCCCTTTTATTTGATACCCATTTTGTAGAAGTAGATTAAAAATGACCATTCCGCCATCTTGGATGGTCCGCCATATTCGATTTAGAATGACGTCACATCATTTTTCGAGTTACTCTCAACGAGCTTTTTCATTTGATACCCATATTGTGAAAGTATATCAAAAATAGCTATTCCGCCATCTTTGATGGTCCGCCATATTGGATTTAGAATAACGTCACATCATTTGGCGAATTACTCTCAACTAGCCCTTTTATTTGATAGGTACACATATTGTAGAAGTAGACTAAAAATGACCATTCCGCCATCTTGGATGGTCCACCATACTCGATTTAGAATGACGTCACATTATTTTTCGAGTTACTCTCAACGAGCCTCTTCATTTGATACCCATATTGTGAAAGTATATCAAAAATAGCTGTTCCGCCATCTTGGATAGTCCGCCATATTGGATTTAGAATAACGTGACACAACTTATCGTGCATTGTAATCCAAACTGAACGTGCATACAAAATTTCAGCTCAATCGGTTGAAGATTTCTACTTCAAAATTGAGTTCAAAGATTCCACCCGAACATACATACATATACATCCATACAAACATACAATGCAAGTTAAATGAAAGCTTTTGAAATATTCAAGGACAGATAATAGAAAAATGGAATATAGGTATTTTTGAAGAATGGCTTTTGATGATATGATTGTTCTCTCATAAGAATGATATTAAAATATATTTTTTCTACAAACGTCAAAAAATGACAAGGTTCGCGCATTGATAACAAATTGCGAAGTGACACTTTTTTTCAGTTTCCTACGTTACCACGACACAATGTGCGAAGCAGTGCGCGAAGTAAAACAGTGCGCGAAGTGCCTACTTCGCGCATTGTTTTGTAAAATATATGAGATATTTATATTTCAACTTCATGGTCCTCAATCGAACAAACATCAACGAAATCATCTATTTCTGAATGTTCAACATTAACTTTTTTTTTCGGCTACGCCTCGTTAAAAAATCAGATCTCGATCACCAAAGTAGCATTTCGCGCTCTAGATACAAAAATAACTATTTTGTCTCACGACTGTTTTGTAAAGTGAAATAATCTATTGAATCTCGTTTCGTGAATACTATTTATCAAAAACTTTACTATTCATTACAAAGCTCTTCCGCCATATTGAATCCACTATCTCGAATTTTCTATAATTTTGTCCATTAATCTTTAACCTCGAAAACTCCCAGATACCAATTTTGAATAGAATCCGATTATAAATTACAAAACTCGTCCGCCATATTGGATCCACCATATAGAATTTTTGACGAAGGAATCATAATCTCCGATCATGTAAACCCCCAGATACCAATCTTGAATAGAATCTGATCATAATCACAGAACTCGTCATATTGGGTTCGCCATCTCGAATTTCCTAATTTTGAAGAATTTTTGAACTTATTATCCCATATTTCAGATGAATACAATAAAAAATCAAATATCATGAAAATTGTTCCAGCCGTTGTTGAATTAAAAATGGTGTAACTATCACGAATTTGGACTTCCTTGTATATAGACAGATCTAAACATTCTAAACAATCTAAATTCATCGATTGTTTACCCTAAAAACAGTGCCCCATATCCAAATGCATCTTCAGCTTCTAAACTCTGGAGTTCTCGATCAATTGAATTTCCAAAATTTCTACTTTCTCACACTCATGTCCATTTATTTATTGTCAACTCACGTTCTTGAATTTTCCAGCTTCACATAGGTAGGCACAATAACACATCATGAGTAATCATAATTCGAGCACAATGGAAAACTAATAAAATAACATAATACCATAGATTCATAGATTAAAGATTGAAATCTCTTATACATACCAAGGAAGTCTTATACTAAAAATAATTGTGGTTGCAGTATCGTAGATTAATAATAATCTACATGTACCTACCAATATATTAGAAATCCAACAAAAACTAACATTTGACAACTCCGCTTCTATACGCTGAATGCCATGTTACAGAAATCTGTAAAAAATCGAATTTGCGACCACGCGCGGTAATTCGCAATAGCGGCGATAGATGGTAAAAATTCGGGGTCCCAACTAAATCCCAAACAAGCGTTACCGTCTGAATGCATGGGCGGTGTATATCTAGGGGAGTCGTTAATCTATGGTAATCATCTGAATTGTCATTACTTCATAATGTATATCGAAATAGTATTTCTATTAGGAATGAGGAGAAGAAATCTCGAAAATTCTAGATAAATGAATCATAAAGTATAATTGCAAATAAAACAAATCTGTGTTTTGTACAAATATCATCGATTCAAAATTGTATTGCTTTGGTCAGGTGGTTGATCATTTAGATAGGCGAAACATTATAGCAGGAATATAATTAATAATTTTTGTTGCATCAGTAGCTAAATTATCATTTTTTCAGTTTTTTTCATGATTTGTGAAATGTCCAATAGTTATTTCAATTGTCAATAATTGTAATACTGAAATTATCTGTTTATTTTTCAGAAAGTTATCATTAGTCAAGCATCTGTTTGAACCGGTGAGTTTATAAATATTTTGTAATTAAGTCTAATAGGATTAACAAATGTATCTATCCACAATGAAGACTAAGAAGATCATTACATGATGGTATTGAATGTTAATGAAAATTCATCATATTATGGCCTTGTTGATATGAATAAATTAATTTATTGATTGTATTTCTATTTCCATTCAAGTACCTAGTCGTTTTTTGTTATCTATGAATCTGCGTATATATATACAGTGTGTCCGTAAAGTATGGAATAAATTAAATATTTCCTAGACTGATAGCCACTTCAAAAAAATTTAGAACGTCGGTTTTAAATTTTGATGTTCTACATTCTACCACAAAATTTCATTTTACACGGTAATATACACATTAAGGTGAAGCTGAAGACGGTATAGGTATTTTGTGTCATTTTTAGATCAATAAAAATGACCTTATTCCAAAAAGGTATATTTGGGGTCACAAAATACAGGATGTACCATTAAAAAAAATTGGCAATGCCGTTAACACCTTAAAAGTGTATCACTCTGTAAAATGATATTCCGTGGTGAAATGTAGAGCATCAAAATTAAAAATCGACGTCTACCAGATTTTTTTTAAACGGGTTTTTGCTTTAGGAAATATCGAATTTTTTCAATGCTTTATGGACACAGATACAGGGTGCTATTTAATTGATAGCTATAACCACAGTAGAGAGCCTATAACTTTGGGATATGGTTCCTTAGGTCATTCAAGATTGAAATTTTATATGAACATATGCCTAAACCTTTCAACTTTTGGGCTATAAAGTGTTGACATTTTAAGAAATACTTTGTTTTCTTACCATAACTTCAAATAAATATCAGGCTGGTGCCCTATTTTCTATTTAATATACCTAATGAGTTAATGACATTTGATCGAATACGTTGCGGTCTTTTTTTGACATATATTCATAAAAGTAGGGCCTAAGTTCATATGAACTTTTCTTTTTGAAATGAGCTAAGGAACCATGTCCTATATTTTTGCCCATTAATTAAATTACACCCTGTATACCTCGAAGACAATTAGGTTTTTATTTAGGTCAAGTTGTGGTTTTCTGATAGAGTATGAACTTGTTTATCACTACATATCTACCATAGTATGATGTATGATCCATGGTTGACCGGATAATATACCTAAACTGTTCGAAAAAAGTTGCAGGTAGGTATGGTATTGTGTTTATGCTATGCAGACACTTTTCTGGAATTAATGTGAACCTAGTTACTAAAACCTATTTCGTTTGCGTTGAAAAATTTCCAAATTTTTTTTCGATCAGTACTATCAGTAGGTATACAGGGTGAGTCATGAGGAACTGTACATGCTCCTACTAAGAAAAGAGGCACCTGAGGGAGATATCAAATGACCAGCAGAAAGTGTCTCCGCCTCTTCTAAAATAATCTATAGGGTGATTTATTGGATATGGCCAAAACTTCATTCAATCATAACATTTCAACAGTTCTTTCGATTCCATTCATTTTTTCATGAATTATTATGCTGTCACTCAGAAATCAACTGACGTATTCAGAATCGTAAAAATCCAGGACCGGTCCTGAGAAATTCTGCCAATTTGGTTCATATAAAAAATTTCACCCTGTATAAGGTTTTAGTAAACTGTGATATGGAATTTTCAAAGTTGATGTACAGGCAACCAAGATGAAGTATTTCAAATTTTCCTAACACTTTCATTGAATTTCTTAGAAAACGATTAATTTTGACTACACGCGAAACTTTGGCGACAAATGTATTCATTTGAAAATTAATACTTCGCAACGCATAAATTTCACGAATAGAAGTAGGGATAATATTATTCACAATTCTTCTGCTCAACAATAATCAACATTCTTTTATCTCCAGGGTTGGATTCAGTAATTTTTTAGTAGAGAGTAATAATCACCAAAAATTTCATCCTGTATATGGTTTTGGTAACCTGTGACATGGAATTGTCAAAGTTGATGAACCGGCAACCAAAATGGAGTATTTCAAATTTTCCTCAGAGTTTTATTGAATTTTTTAGAGCACGGTCAATTTTCACTACACGCGCGAAACTTTGGCAACAAATGAATTAATTTGAAAATTAATACTTCGCAACGCTAGAATTTCACGAATAGAAGCAAGAATAACATCAATTGCTATTCTTCAGCTCTCTGAAAATCAACATTCTTCTATTTCCAGGGTTGGATTCAGTAATTTTTTGGTAGACGGTAATAGCATTGGTCACACTGTATGATTTTATCATAACGGTATGTGCAAATCTTGAAAATCATGGACCCAAAAATCTTTTGTAGTGTTTCTTAGAAATCCGCAATATTATGATAATTCGAATCAAGAATTTTCCAGGCAATTTCTTTCAACAGACGTGTCATCAACTGAAATCAGGAATATTCAGAAATACTCAGAATCTCTATTACAAATCGATTAAAAACCTCAGAATATTCAAATGATTCAAGCTATAACATTCGTCCATCACATTACCTACTATAACATCATACAGGATGATTATTACTTTCCACAAAAAAAAAAGAAATACAACCCTAGGAATTATAGTCATGTTGATTATCATTGGAATCAGGAATTGGAATCAATGTAAATCTTGCTTTTATAAGTGAAATTGAAGTGTTGAGGAGTATTTATTTTAAAATTTATCCATTTTTTTGCTAAAGCTTCGTTTTTGGTAATAATTGATCTTATTATTTGAAGAAATTCATTGAAACAGTATGGACAATTTGTAATGCTTTATTATGGTTGCTTGTTCATCAACTTCAAAAATTCCATGTCACAGTTTACTAAAATCATATACAGGGTAAAATTTTTGGTGATTATTACCCTCTACCAAAAAAATTACTGAATCCAACCCTGGAACTAGGAGAATGTTGATCATTGTTGAGCAGAAGAATTGGAAATAATTTTATCCTTACTTTTATACGTGAAATTCATGCATTGCGAAGTATTAATTTTGAAATTAATACATTTGTTGCCCAAGTTTTGGCGTGTAGTATAAATTAATCATTTTCTAAAAAATTCGATGAAAGTGTGAGGAAAATTTGAAATACTTCATTTTGGTTGCCTGTTCATCAACTTTGAAAATTCCATATCACAGTTTACTTAAACCTTATACAGGGTGGAATTTTCTATATGAACCAAATTGGCAGAATTTCTCAAGACCGGTCCTGGATTTTTACGATTCTGAATACGTCAGTTGATTGCTGAGTGACAGCATAATAATCCATGAAGAAATGAAAAGAATCGAAAGAACTGTTGAAAAGTTATGATTGAAAGAAGGTTTGGCCATATCCCATGAATCACCCTATAGATTATTTTAGAAAAGGCGGAGACACTTTCTGATGGTCGTTTGGTATTACCCTCAGGTGCCTCTATTCGTAGTAGGAGCATGTACAGTTCCTCATGACTCACCCTGTATATTGCAATTTGGGTTTTCAAGTATCTTCATCCATGGAAAAAATTGAAATGAAATAGTCATTTGAGAAGACTCAACTTTTCATATCAATGTGGAATCATATTTTAATCAATTTTCAACACCTACCTATGTAGTTGTTCACTTTGTATCATTATGAATAAATTATATTATTTATGGGATGATGAAAATCCACTCCTAAACCAAGAAAGGAGTGATTATTTTGCATGCTTAGAATAGGTATAGGTAGGTAGGTATCTACTGGTATTAGCTACCTCGATGCCTATACCCAGCCTATACCTACCTCCTACCTACATAGTACATAATCAAACTTTTTTGCTAATAGCACCTATGTAGCGAAATTTCATTTGGTACAAATAGATAGGCCAACTTCTCATTGAAATTTTATTGTTTTGGATGACTAAATAGATGGAAATTTCCATAGCCGTTATAGTCTGCCAAAGCATGGTTGAGCAACTGTTGCACCAGTGGTATGCATTAGGAACATAATATAGTTAGTATATTTGTGTCATTAGTATTTCATGGACTGTTGAACTCAAACTGTTTTTTAACCACCTGAAGTTTGGAGATATACTGGATGATTCATTGGGAAATGCGCATACAGTGAGGGTAGATGGAGGACACCGAGGTACTTCTAAATGATATATTTCATGGGTCTATCATTCTTTATAACCAAGATACAGGGTGATTTATTGATTTTCCTCATTTTTACAATCAATCATAACTTATGAACCACCATATACATTTTTTTGCTATTTGGTTTGTACGTTCTTTGTCCACATTGGTGACGATTGACATAATAAAAAAAGTTTTATTATAATATTATATATAAAAATAAGTGAGACTTGATGTATTTAGTGTTTCCGCATACAATTTTTTTACCTATCAATTTGAGTCAAATTCATTGGTTTCAATAATGATGAGGCACATCATTAAAAGATATATATATATATATATATATTTGTGGTCCCAAATGGTACTTTACCATTTATAATCCATAAAATCAACAATTATTTTTCTGTTTCCTAATTTTTGGATCCCAACCTAATTGAAAACGAGAGGGTATGTCCGTATTTGGGACAAATTATTATTATTATAAATGACTAACTTTTCTGTGTAAGAAAATTAACATAAAATTATTAACATTTGTTCATTGTACTTCAGTCGAAACAACAATTATCAAAATGTTGAACAATGCCAATTACGAAAAAAGCATAACTTTATTTCAAACGAATTGTATTGAGTTACATGCATAGACCTACAACATGTTTATTATTATCAAATTTGAGTGTCATTGAGTAAGCAATAACTGTTATTAACGAATAACTGCCCAGTACAAACAAAAGTACAAACTCATCAACTAACGTCAAAATTGTACTTTAACATCAGCCACCTTGACAATTACAACGATTTGGGATATCAAACAAAAGTGTACGTACAGACTGCTTTACTTTATTATTATTATTATTTCAAGAATGCATCAGAGGAGTCCAGAAATGATCATGATCTAGCTAAAAAAATAATCAGACGTGGATAAAGAGGAGTCTAGTTTTTTATTTTCTGTTATGTTTAACGTTTAAAATGTAGGTTTGTGGCAACGTTATTTTTGTTTGAAACAATGTTATGATTCTTTCGGAATGGGCATGTTCTTCATTTTCATAATTGTTGTTTTAAATATAGTGTAATAAACAAATGTTATGATGATTCACTTACACATACAGGGTATTTAAAGTTAGTCATTTGATAATGATAATTTTTCCCAAATACGGACTTGTCCTCTAGTTTTTCAATTAGGTTGGGATCCAAAAACTCTAAGAATAAGAAATAGATGATAATTTCATGGATTAAAAATGAAAATAGTGCCAGTTGGGGACGACAAGTTTTTTTTTTTCAATTTTGTGCCACCTCATTATTAAAAAGTTGTATCAAAAAATTGTATAGTGTGGTTTATAAGTTATGATTAATTGAAAAAAATGGTGAAAATCAATAAATCACCCTGTATCTCGGTTATAAAAAAGATAGACCCATAAAATATGGATTATTCAGAAGCAGCTCGGTGTCCTCCATCTACCCTTACTGTATGCGTTTGCCAATGAATCACTGAAATGGTGGGTAAGTATCTTTTAAGTATGGAAAAAAACAAGATTTCTATTCTGAGTAAATAAGTTATTTATTATACAAGGGAAAAAAGTTGTAGATTTTAGCTCCAGGTTGTGTTGTCTCCCGACGCGTAGCGGAGGGAGACAAAAAACCGTGAGCTAAAATCTAATATTTTTCCCGTGTATAATACACTATTTTTTTCTGTGACAGAAGGAAGGACGAATCAATATTGAGAAGATATTACATTATTTCGAAATCTGAAAATTATCGACGTGAAATTTCAAGTTTTTAACAGTAGGGACACCTGCGTTTCATAGACATCTTCATCATTCTTTTGAAGTAATCAAATATCTGATGTCACTACTGTCAGTTCAATTCTGTGATTTGATTTTGAAAAATTGCGAATTCAGTGGTTGTTTAGTAATATACGAAACTGCGAAGTCGAATGGAAGATAAAAGGACTTGCAGTTCTTTCTCGGAGACGGTATTATTGACTCATTTTTCGGAACTATTGCACAACAAAAGCCATTAACAGGGTATATATATGTGATATTTATCCGGGAAAGAAGTACTCACTTTTTTCCCACGGGAAAAAAGTAATTTATGAAAAGTGACATTTTATAACCTGCCAACAGAGATGAAATGCCAAACTTTTTTCCCGTCACAGAAAAAATAATATATTCTCTATAGGTAGGTACCTAACATTCATCGAAAAATAGTTATCTATTCATCATTTTTGGATGTATGACAAATTGATATCACACAGGAAGTGTTATTAATGAAAGTATGTTTAATGAAAATATGTTCAATAGAAATATTTGACTGATCGAAAAACAATCATAGCCGTGATGCAGAAATACATCTTCAACACACAGATCCCCTGATTTTGTGGTCGACTATACATAATTTCAGGATACTTATATCAAGCTAGGTATAATTTAGCGATAATAACACACTCTCAATCAATCTGGTGATTTGTTGTTTCAGGCAGAGATTATACACTCCCCGGTATTCTCCTATAAGTTAGCGATATCTATATAGGATATAGTAGTGAAGTTTTTGTAAAAATCAGTTTCGAAAATAAAGGGTGATTGGAGTGTGCAAATCATACCCATATCAGTTTTTTTTTATCAAGCGAATCTTTTTTTTTATCACAGGCGTCAATAGTGAGCTCTGAAGAACAGGCCTGCAATAGCGACTCCTTTTCACAGGACATTCAAAGTAATTTTTACAGCCTCCAAAGAATATGTATTTTTATTTTGCTCTCCTGTAATAGTCATACCAAATATTCCTTTTTTTGTTGATTCAAATATGAATCGAGATTATTTGTGCATGGATAATAGTTTTCGTGATCAGACACCTATTTTCACAAAATAGCCACACTTTTGAGAAGTCATGAGTTTTTTATTGTATTCATCACCTAATAAAAATGGGGTATTAGAATACCCCACGATACGTTACGTTTCGAGGAAACACGATATCAGTTACAGGTTAAAATTACTGTAGTTATCCACCAGTGGCGCAAAAAGTTATGACCTCTGCTAGTTTCTAGAAATACCATCGAAATCGTATCAAGGAACAAGGCAGCTGCACGTCACCAGCATTATGGATTAAAATATGTTTCGAGAGGTAGGGAGCCAATGGGGAGCCAGATCGGCGCGTCGTATTTGCTCTCTCCGACCTCGGTATAAAAGCGAAACCGCACCCGGTTTTCTCCATTCTCTCAGTTATCGATGCCATAGTTGTGTGTTCTGTTCGTGTTGTGAATTGTTGCACGATCCTCCATTTTGTCGCCATTGTTCCAGCGTTCTTCAAGTTCCTAGATTTCGATTGGTGATCGAGAAAACGAACTGCAACTGCATTTATCAGACTCAGGTGTGTTTTTTAAACGAAATTAACAAAAATTTCGAGAGTTTCTTCTACTGACTCAAACCATATTGTCAATATGGGCGTTGTCTCTAAGTCCAATGTACTCAATACTGACGCATTGAGAACCTCTGAATTAGCTAATTGGATTGCTTTAATGAAAGTCAAGAAACTGAATTTCAAATGTCAAAAGAAGAAAAATCTTTTGATAGAGGCTGTTTTGAACAAAGCCCTCTCCAAAGCTGAGACAGAGTTGCGTAATAAACAACAAGAAAGGCGGCTGAGGTGGCAACATTTAAAATCAGCATGGGCCATTTCTCAAAAAGACTGCTGTGATAATATATCTCCGATAAATTGGGACTCCAATACCTGTGAAGAATTGAATAATAGTATAGACGAGTTTATGTCGCAACTTAAAGAAATAACTGTTCCTATTCAAAGATAATGACTATATTGTATCAGTATTTTTTGTTTTTTAAGGCTATTTTGTGATTTTGTCAAATCTGTGATAATATATTATGTATAGTTTTTCTATTACAGTCACCTTTTTGGGGACGTCCACCGTCCGAGCTGGGAATTCACCTGTTTGGTTTGTAATTATCGATACTTTTTCTCAACTCTGAATTCACCTATTAATTTCCATATTAGAAAGGTAGATAAAAACTTGTAAATAAAGTGATATTAATTTTAATAAACATAACTTCAATTTGATTGCATTGAATATTTTTTATATTTATCCTCCCATTACTAATCTGTTTTAACTTTACATGTATGTAAGCAAGATGCTCCTGAATTCACAGTCGTCATCTCTTATGCACTACAGAACTATATTATTCCCCATACGTTCGCCGCAAATGCCTGGGTAACGGAAAATAACTACTTCCTGCAATCGTTTCCATGCACTCCATGTGACCAATCATATGGTGGGACACTAGATGGTGCCTGCTCTCTTAGGAAGGTTGAGTAGAGGACCTGCAAAACATGGTAACAACTGTATTTCGTAAAGATTGTTTTCTCTATCTTGTAAGTACTGATTATTTCAAATTATCATCTTAGATTTGAGATAATAAGTATGGCAATGAATTGTTTTGTAATATCTGCATGTTATATTCTCCTCCCCTTCTTTCCTTTTTGTAAACTTCAGTGTTTCTTCATAGGTACCTACTTATTGCATAATGAAGTTTGCAAATATATTTTAAACCCCCCACAGTGTAAATGCTTCACTAGAGATGGGATTTTTTGAATAAGATGAACAGACCTTGCCTACAGTTCTTGGTGAAGCATTTTTGAATATAATGTGCTCATGTTACAAACAATGATTTTGAAGCAAAATATCCTGACTGGCATTTTTTGCTTCAAATCCATGACGAAATATTATGACAAAAATTCTATTGGAAAATGATTTTCCCTAGGTTGGCAATGGAGCTCGGTGAGGTTTCTCGGCGAGCTTTGCCAACAAATAATGTAAAAGAAGCCCATCATGAGAAGTATGAGGGGTCTTAGAGATGACAGAGGAGGTATTTCCAAGCCAACTAAGCTTAACAGTGCCTTATACGAGTTGGAAGTTGGAGATGTATGAAGTCCTCATGGTAATGTCTGTCCTGTACTGCGTCTTTTTGTCTGGTGGATGAAATATGGGATTTCCACACCATATTTCATATCATGCCTATAGAATTCTGCAAGATGGTGTTCTGCATTAGCATACATAAGAAGTTGGTATACATACAATCACAAGTATTCCCACATGATTGCTGCTGGTATGAAAGAATGAATATTGTGTATCTTGGAATAATTTACTCCCCAAAAGGTGCACTTGATTTTTTTAGCAATTGGAGTGCACTTTCTAATAAATATTGACCTGGTGAACTGTCTGTCTGTGCTGTCATGTTGGTCTTCTTCATCAGTGGAGGTGGGAGCAATCTCTATAAAGGTATTTATGAATGTAATTGCATTCTATTGATGCTGCATAAACTGAAATAAAAGTATATCATCTCAGAACATAACGTGTGATACAGACTCCAGCAGTTAATCTGAACTTTGGAACTTTACATATGCTCACTCAGATATACTTCTTGACATGCTGAGAGACTATTTCAACTACCAGTTTTTAGGAAAACCTGCCAACTTTAAATTTTTATATGGAATATACCATAATCCATTAGTTTTTGAAATTCATTCAATTTTATGAATTCAATGATACCTCATAGTGGATATTTCAATAGAACGCTCATTATTTTCCGATATAGAAAGCCATATATCATAAAATTATTGCCAATTACCAAAATCATGCTACTTTAGCGCAAAATTGAAGTTGCACTAGTGTAGCATTATTTTGATAATTTATTCAGAATAATTTTATATCAGTTCTCTAGGTACAAAGTGATATGAGTGTTCTAATCATAAATAATTGAAATATGAACTCTGGGATACCATTCAATTCAGAAAATAATGTAAATTCCAAAAATGTAATGACATATTATGTTTTCCATTTGAAAATTAGGTAATTTCCGGATAAAACTGGAAGTTGAGAATATTTTCCCTAGACAAAAGCATCTGAGTCAACATACCTAATGGTTCAAATTTTGAGAAAATTGCTGGAAAATGAATTGAAATAAGTCTGAGTCTGTCTCCCACAGTATATTTCTGCAATAAAAAGTATCAGGTGAATAACTTCTGTTTAATTTGGAGATTCTAACTGATTTCAAGATGAAACACAAATTACATTGGTTGCAAAACTGCTACTTAGTAGTTTTCAGGAAAAAATACAATTTTTTATTATTCTCTATTGAACCAACAATAAATACATAGAATGAACCTACTTGGAGGTTTCTACGAAGTACCCCAAAGAATTTCATTACCCAATTGGAAAAACTAATACTTGCAAACCGAGAACCTGATAGTTGAAATTGTATTGAATCAAAACAATGAAAACTATGTATGTGATATTAAACTACTCTTACGCTGATTATACTATTTCTCGATTATTTTTCTCTTGCAGCTATCAATCGCAAAATAGTGACAAATAGCAGAAACAAAAACTGCTGTTTATTTCTCGCCACAAATAGATCTTGAACATTATATCTCAAAATACCCCAAAAGTCCAATATTCCGAACACCCTGGTTTCTAATTCGATCTCTCTACTACGATGATGAAGACGGGAGCAGCTTTGCGGTTATAAAAGGTAGGTGAAGGATTTCAGTTTGATAACGCAAAATTCCATTGAACTATAGCAATTTGATCTTCAACAATATTTCTACTATAGGACTCTGAAAATTCCAGGAATGGATGGTCAATGCAAAATATAGGAATGTTCATCAATGTCTGAAAAAAATATCACAATAATGAATGATAGATGCGCACTATTATTTGTTATTGAAATATTTTTATGATTTAGACATTTTGATCACGTTTAATTACTGAGTACAAAGTCAAAACCACCCATTTATAGAATGATACACTTGATAGCGAGTCTGTGGAGAGTATACCCCAATAATGTTGATGGCATGTTCAAATTCTTATATAACAGAGTTGATAGGGTAGGTTGAACACTAAAAAATGAGTTGGGTTTGCCATGTAAACAATTTTCATAACGGCATGCGCTTTTAAGATACAATGTGTTGAAACAACTATTTTTATGCAAATTTCTTTTGATTACGTTGAAACTACTGGCAGTATTCTAATGGAATGAATATGTTTGCATGAATTCGTTTTTATATCTGATTCTTAAAGAGGGCGCTAGATAGGCGATTTGTACCGAGTAGTTTTGATCAAAATTTAGTTCAGATTCTTTCATCAGATTTTGATTTGAAAATGATTGTGTAACTGTTGCTGGTATATAGCTATGTATATTAATTGTAAGTATCATGAAAAGCTATTACCTATGTATTGGAAAACAAGAACATTATTCTTATACTGAAATTATTGGTTGAAGGCAATGTATTGGAAAACAAGAACATTATTCTTATACTGAAATTATTGGTTGAAGGCAATGGATCACAAAAGCAACATAGCAATAAATTTGACTAAAAATTTTATGAATTACACAGTTGAGTTGTATCTTGAAGATAAAAAACCTATGTTATAACATGTATTTACTTCTATTTATAGAATGAATTGCATGACAAAATTGGACATCAATTGAATGAAAATAGAAAATAATTGTGAATTTTCTAAAATGGATGACATTTTGAACACACTCATTCAACATTATGTATTTGTCAAAGTCATTTTCTTTTTTTGATATTTTGTTCAATCAATAACTTCAGCAATAGAATAATTGGTTTTGGTTTTGATCAAATAAGTGATCGATTTTGATAATACTTATTCAATACCATTATCAGTTATTACTTTTCATTATTTTCATATTGAAATATTCCGAGAACGGTACACAGTATTGAGTTTCACCAGGAGCACCTTTTTGGTGTAAAATTGATAGATCGTTATTCAAGTTCGCATGGAATTTGCACCAAGAAATCTAACATGGATAAGGTGATGTTTGAAACTACTCTGTACGAACCGTGTTACTAGCGCCCCCTCTATGAGAGTCGGGTATGAAAACTAATTTATGCGATTTGTCAGCTTTCAAGGGATTCATACAAAATTTCATTACAATGTTGCCAGTAGTTTTGACAATCGAGAAAAATGTGTGAAAACATATTTTTTCGACGCCTTGTATCTTTAATACGGATGCCGTTATATTTTTTGCTGAGCACACCCAACTTATTTTGTGGTGTTCTATCTACACTAGCAACGGTGCCACCTATTTTGAAACACACAGCATATTTATGAATAATACACTCGATTTTATCCCATAACACGAATAATGTTGAACAAAATTTGATGAATGTCCTGTTCATTCTCTATACATACAGAGTGACCCATTTGAAAGCGGGCCACCGTCATACATTTTTCATTTAGGGAACGATTTCCACATTTTTCTCTCGAAATGTAGAGGGAGGAACGGTGTATTTTCGACCTAAGTGGCGTCCATTTAAAAAAGAAACCAAGGCCTACTAGGTCAGATTCAGAGGCTGAAAAAAGAAGTGAAAATCGCTCCATACCTAAAAAAATTATGGGGGTGGCTAGATTTCAAATGGGTCACTCTGTATAAGTAATTCATGGATAAAAATATCAGTCAGCAATTTATGAAAGCCTAATAACAGACGGCAATTAGTGTTCACTATGTGATATTCTCACACCTATAATATAGATGAAATGTATAATTCAACCTATACAAGGTGTTGTGAAATTCCACCGTCAACGCTTCACAAATGATTGCACTCGTGCTCTGATGAAGAATTAGGTCAGAGACAAGTCCGACATGAAGTCCTCAATGGTTAGTTTTGAGATATGTATTGAAGTTGAAAAATGAAAATCGTTTTTTAGGAATTACTGGAGAAATTTTTATCGCTCAATTTTGGTATGTAATTTTGTTTTTAAATCCTTACATTCATGACGTTACAGTAACTTCCGTCATTTCATCTACTGACGCACCACAGTGGGTGTTGTAACTTTTTCTCCCATATTTTTTGCGTTACTGAATTTCCTGACAATTTTAATTACAAAAACGGTTACATTCTCTTTCTACATAATAACTATTC